CCCAGGCCTGAGACCATTGGGAAAATCTGGAGCAAAGAAGACTGACCCACTTGGCAAATAAAGAGCAGGTTAGGGAGCCCTTAAACAAACTGAACATGCAAGTGTAGAGGCCCTTAGGGGTTGTATTCCTAAGTCCTACTGTATTTGCTCGTCTGCAGCAATTGAGAAAGCTTCCTGAAAACTGCAGGAGAGTGAATGCCACTCCTTTGCTCATGGAAGGCAAGAATCTGGGGAGCTACAGGCTGGTCAGCCTTGTCTTTATTTCTGACAAGGTGGTGGAGCAGCTAATCTTGGGAACCATTTCCAGGCATGTGAAGGACAAAGAAGTGATCAGGAGTAGGTACCACAGAATGATGAATGAAAAGCCATGCTTAGTCGCCTACAAAGCCTGAGGGAGACAAGTCACTGATGATGTGTTGGGAGTTTGGTTGGCTAAGGACTGGAAAAGTACAAAACCGTGGCTAATTCCAAGTCCTGCACCTGCATAGATAGCAGTATCCTTGTGCCTAGTTGCAGTAGGATAACAAACAGTGAAAAAGACATGAGAAAAGAGAGATGTAACACCTAAGGAATGAGGAAGAGTTCATGGTATAGTTTAACCAACAGATTGCTTGGTGTACAGAATATTCATAAGCTTATTATTTGCTGTATAAGTGTCTGATGTTCTCTTCAATAAACGGAACTTGCTTATCACTCCAGTTGAGTGTCCGAGTCTCCCCTCACCGACAAATGGCTCATCCCCGTCAAAGGCCTCATTTCCGCGACAATGGTGCATCCCAGGGATTGATACTGGCGTCAGTACCATTTAACATCTTTATTAATGATGTGGCCAATAGTACAGAGTGCAGCCTCAGTTAGTCTGCTGATGATATAAAACTGGGAGGAGTTATTGATACAGTGAGGGCCCTTCTGATAAAAAACACCAGCGGTATCCTAGAGTGCATTAGGAAAAGCACTGCCATCACTTTGAGGGGGCTGATTCTTTCCCTCTACACAGTCCTACATCTGGAGCCCTTGGTCCTCTTTAGATCCATAGATCGTCTTTGGGTCCATAGGCTGAAGTTTTCAGATCTTACACTTCTTTTTTCAGTAGAGTGATGGTTGTACTGGCCCCAGATTGACCACAGGATGTGCTTTATGGTGAGAAAAGTTCAGTTTTCATGTCTGTTCATACAGGACCTCTTCTCTGAGCCCAGCCTCAGAAGGAATCTGCTCACACCTTAATACTGCAATAGCTTTTAGTGGCACAAGATTTCTGATTTTCATAAGAAGGAGCCTTATGAATCAGCCTGATGAAGTGCTGATTAGATGATGAAGATTAGTAATGAAATAACATTTGTGTAAGAAAACCCCTGCTATAATATAGAGTGATCTGTGAAATGTTTGTTCCTCTTCTTGATATGATCCCTATGTTATAGTCCTTCTCTAGCAGGCATGAGGAAAACTTAATGTCTAATTTGCTGTAGGGCAAATAAGTGAAATCCATTTTTCTTAAACAAAGAGATGCTTGCAGGAAGCAAGAAGCATCTTGCTAAGAACTGAAGCATATAAAAAGTGAAGAATAAACTTAAGGGCATTGCAGGCCTCTTAAGATCATACAGAAAAGCTTGTTCTTTTAAAAATAATTATTTATTTTTAACCACAGTGAAATGGGTACAATAGCAACATGCCTGCAGGATGAAGCCCCACATTATTTTACTCTTTATTGTAAACCTGTAAAGCAGTACAGGCCAAATACTGCTTTATTATCTCTTTGTGACGTCCTTGAGTTCACAGGGGCTGTAAGGGGTAAAGAGTAGTTGTCTGACTTCATGTAATGTACTGTAGGGCCATGACCATTTATTTTGGATTCATGTTACTACTATAGTCCTATTCAGACCAAGAAAAGACCTGTAGTGCCAGTGTTGTGGTATGAGAAAAAAAATATAAGGTATTAAAAGAGAAAATAATGAGATGATTTAAGAAATCAAAACCACTCAGGGCAAAGTGGACAGGTGACCCAAATTGAGACAAGTCTGAGGGGGTTTATAGGGCAAACTTATCTCTGAAACAATTCATTTCCCTTTGCTGGAACTACAGTAGGTATACATTTGACCTTTATGGGTCACTGTATTATAAAAGAGGAATCTTCCAAGTTCCAAAAGTATTCTTCATTTTGTAACTGTGGCTTACACAGAGCAGGAGCTGAGCATGTATTCTGATGACTGCCTCATCTGGAATGCATGCTACAAGCTGTGCAAGCTAAGTTATTGGAAGTAATGGGAGTGGGGGTTTTCTAAACTGATTTCCCTAAAAACCAGCCCTGTAGAAACACTCTGAGTGTATTGTCTCTAAGGACATTGTTTACTGATAACTTTTAAATCTATTGACTTTCAAACAAATTTGACAAATAACTTAATGTGAAGAAATGATCTTATTTCTACAAATGACAAAATTGAGTGTCTCCTCTTGCTGCCTTTATCTATCAAAAGATCAGTAATCTGACCTTTTATTAGAATAAAAGACAATCTGACCAAGCAGATATTTCATTCACTATTTTTTTTCCCAGGGGAGGTCCCTACAAAGCATTGAATTACTCTTAATTCTCTGTGGGCACATGTTCTGCTCTTAACTAAGACACACATAACATTGTGATCATAACCACTGGTCATATGTTCATGTTGATGTTCATCTCTGGCACATTTTGCCACCTTGAGCAATCATTGCCCAAGAGATTACTAGGTTGAGATACGTGAGAATGGAAAATTTTATCTGTTGTCCAGTTATATGTATATCTTCCAGTCTGTAGAACATGTCATTAAGCATTATTCAAACACCTGATATGTTTATAGGATAAACAGGAAGGAAGAAAAATGGAGATGCTGGAGCAGGCAGAAAGCCAGTGATGAGAACCAAAACACAAATCCTGATCTCCAGTCTGAACTGTATCTTTTAGACCTACAAGGCACATTTTCTTAACCCTAGTGTATTGCTCTTGAGAAACAGCTGATGTCAGAAGTATATCTGTAAAGAGACTATCTTTCCTTTCTTTTTCACCCCCCCTGCTGTTGAAATAATTTCCTGTCTTAGCTGGTTAACCTTTCCTACTCATTTCTATTTGCATGTAATGTCTTATTATAGTTGCAAGTTAATCACAAATCTATTGAGAGACTTCTCTTTAATCTAGCAGCCTTCGTTTACTTTCTGTGTCATTTAAAACTGTTGTGCTACGGTTAAGAGTGTCCAATTACATTCGCTGCAGGAGAAAAAAACAAGTGATCAGCAGCCAACGATTTCAGCTGAAGGTATCATCAAATGGGAAAACAAATTAGGTGCCTAAAAATAAAATTAAGGATTCACATGCCAGATTCGCTTGCGCTCAGTGACACAGAATGACTGGTCAGATAACTGATAACCTTTTCTCCCCAAATAAGAAAAAACCAAAAGTGATCAGCTCTAAACCAGAGGACAGGAGGCATCCTTGTAGAGTCTCAATGAATGATATATTTTAGATCATCAGCCACTCCAGTTTCTTAAATCTCATTGTGCACTTGTTGTAGTATAACAAAACACTAGAGATTCCTCTGACTCAATAAATACTAAATAATAAATCTGACTCATTTTACTAATACAAAAATTATTGATGCTCCCCACACATTCTTCTGTATGGTCTTTCTAGGGGAGAAACTGGTGAAAACAGGGGTATAACACACACTGACTAGTAAGTTATGCCCACATTTGCTTGCTTGCTTTCTTTCTTGCTCATTCCATCCCTCATTTTCTTTCTTCCTCCCACTCTCTCCCTTGTTTCCTTTCTCCTTCCCTCCCTTTCTCTTATGGGTATATACTCCTTCCCTCATAGGGATCTACTAAATAATACTTTGAAATAAATCTAGTTTCTCTCATCCAGCAGTCCATATGTTGATCAGTGATCTGGAAGTTCCTAAGTTAGGAAAAACCTATTTCTTGGACAGTCATGGTTTCAAATGCAGACTTGGACACACAATGTTTACTGATGCTTTCCTATACTTTTAAAACACACAGAAAGTGGTAAACGCCGATTCCAGCACACACATTTTTGCTGCACCCTGGTACTGCCTTACATAAAGCATCTGTCCCAGAACTTTCCAATAACCACACCATCAATGATCTTTAGGTTCCTATTTCCTGATAAGTTCAATAGATTATTAAAGCACTACGCAACTAGAACAAGCAATTCTGCAGATAGAGGAAGAAAAAAAAAGAGTCTCTGTCTAGTTATCCAAATAATTAAATTTCTCCTAGTAAAAGCAGAGTAGATATCCCATTCAAAAATTCTGAATAGAATGGATTTTACAGAAGATCAACTATTTATAGCTGAACTTCAGAGATCATTAATCTCTGGCCAGCAGCCACATCTCAGCATAACTCCAAATTCTCCAACAGGTAAAACCAGGCAGAAATCTGAACCATGTTTTCAAATATCAGTCCTTACAACTTTACACTTCAAACGTAAATATAATAATTTTTCAGGCACCAAATTGATTAAACTTGTAAACTACAGTTCTGGGCTTGAAATTCAGCACATAATGGAGTCTAAGCTCTGTTTCATTGCCCAAGCTACCATGGCACCTTCCAAAATCATAAAAAGCAAACAAGCCCAGCAATATAAATGAGCTTTTAAAGTGGAAATCTGTCCTCAATTCAAAAGTAATAAAACGTCAATCTGTTTCAGGTCTTTGTGGCTTAAAATTGTCCTGGACAAACAGAAGATAAGTTGCTGGTCTGTGCACGTATGTGGTTGTGTTTCTTTCTTTAACATGGTCATACCCCAGTTCTCAGCTTTCAGCACATAAATCAGTGCTTGCCAGCACTTATATGAAGGTGTAAATAAAGGGGGCTTGATGACTCACTGCACAATGGCAATGACTGTAGTATTTCACAGGCAGGACCACAGCTGCTCCCCACCTACCCTTGAATTGGTTCAATATATCCTGTCTGGGTGGATGTTATTGACTTGCCTCATTTGTCTGTCCTAACAGGCTCTCTTTGGAGCAGGAAATGGGGGAACCAAGACCAGCCATTCTGAAATTGCCTCTTCAAGATTCAAAAGTAAGTGCGCCAAGTGCTCGTTCATTGCAAGTCCCTCTAAGTTATCCATCAGGCAGTGTATGCATCTCTCCGTTTTGTGGCTTGCCAGTGATTTGCACAGGAGCAGGAGGCAGCAGGGGCAAGCCCTCTTCCATAGACACAGTGAGGTGCTGGGGCTGCAGAAAAGTGAATGGGGCTGGGCAGATGGAGGAGAGGCTTCAGGAAGCGTTTCCCTGTTATGACGCCTGGCTTTAGGGGACAGTGGCAACCCCTTGAACAGCTGGTTTCCTGTACTTGTACTGTATCTATATATATATTTGTACTCACACATACACATATTGCAGCCTACTGAACCCTTGTTAATGGTAAACAAATAGGAGATAAAATCAAATGTGCAAGAACCCTGACCATTTTCACATAATCTAATTTTATGAAGCAAAGACGATTTGTTTACCTATCTTTTATAATCTCTCATTAGCAGAGAGTGAAATAGGAGGAAGGTAAAATGACAGCCTTTGTTGTTGTGTAGAACTGTTTCTTACCTCTTTCTGCACTGAAGAAAACATGGCTCTGTATAAGGAAACTATGCTTGGCTATCCTAAATTGCTGGAGCACTATATTCTGAGCATTTCGCTTCTCTCCTGAAGAAGGAGTTAAATCAGACTAATTTATGCCCAGTTGTACTAATATATCCTGATAGTGAAGCATTGCTTCTGGCCCCAGATTACTGTTTTCATCACCCAGATACTTGCCCCTTTGCTGTGTATGCTCACATGTACAATTAAGGTCTTTTTAACATTTGTGCATTTTTCAATACCTGGATATTCTTGACATTAAGATTGGCTCTTCATTGATCCCTACAAGCTGGAGCCAAAGAATTCATGATAAGACTCCTGTGACTCCTGCCTAGCCTAATAAATATGGGCTATGAGGCAATGCAATCTGCTGAAACACTGGAGCACATTTTAAACAGTCGTCATGGTGTAAATATTCCTAAGTAGAAGTCCATGGTAATCTAATACAATACTGTGATCTGCAATATGGTAATTACAACTGTGACTTGACTCATTAATTTTGGTAACAGTTGTTAAGCAGCTCATTAGGTGGGTATCGAACAGCAGACGTCAATCTGGGGAGCCTCTCAAAACCTTCCAATATTTTTCTTTTCACAGCAAGCAGCATAGCAAAGGAAGGAGGAGGCTGGACTTTGGGACTTCTGAGCTCTTAAATTCTGGGTACTTTGTGATCTTGACAAACACTGTGCTTGCTTTGTGAGCCAGAATTAGGCAAAGATATGGAAGTGTAACATATTTCAGCTCCTGGGCTTGAAAAATTCTCCTTGGTTGCTCAAATCGCTTTTTTTTCAGCAGACTCTCCAGTTTCTACTGACAAACAGAGGAGATAACAGGGTGCATCCCTTTATGGGATCACGCAAACCTGGTCTGTGCTTTCACTTTCTCATTTCATATCACAGTTAATGTTCTAAAAGAGCAATTTTTGGTGCTTACTTGTATAAATTCAGCTAAAGTACATCAGTTAGAAATAAACAAGCATTAGTTTTTCATGTAATTGTATGCTGGTTATGGTGAACAAGATCACAAAATTCACAAACATGAAAATTAAGCTGCCAATGGCAAGCACGTGAGGTATAACGTCTTGAACATATGCTTTAATCTCCCTGCTTCTGCATATTTCATCAATTTCCTGTTGAGCACTTAAAGAAATGGTGTGACAACGTCCAAGACTGACCAAAAATGGACAGTGCTGGCTAGATAGCCACTCTGCACAGAGATAATTAGATTTGACTTCAAGCATTTAGCTTTTCCTTGAGCAGATTGCATAGGGGAATTTGAGTACTCTGTTCTGAAGCTGACTGACTACAAATAGCAATGCCAATACACAGTTGCAAGTCAACATTCAGCTCCATTTTCCATGGGTTTGCACATAGTTTAATCTTTGAGCTTAATGAAGCCTGAAAGTTGTCAAACTTGTCTTCTCCTCCCTTCTACAAAACCTATCCAGCCAGGCACAAAAGTGCCAAAATCACTATCAAAATCTACAGTATAGAAGGAAAAGCTGAAGTTATTCAAAAGTTTTTAGCAAAATCTCCCAGTCCAACCCTGCGATGCTTTGGCAGGAATAGAGGTGGAATGTCAGCATCTGAATAGTGTCTCTTGGCCAATATATCACAGGTAGCTTTCTGTTGGTGCATTTCCCCTCCTGTCTGCAGCCATGAGTGCTGTCACTCTCCAGCAAACAAGAACCATCATGGTGTAGTTTAGTTTCAGTGCAATGGGGTACTGTAACTGGGAGATAATTTCTCAGTTGTAAAAGCTTAACCCGCTTTCTTATTATTAGTCTTCTTTCCTGTGGTTGTAAAAGCTTATGCATTTCTTACTTCACATTATCAGCTCAAGAGGTATACTGACTCTGACATATAAACACTTTCTTGCTAAGTAAATGTTAATTTTCTGATATGTAGACCAATTAAACCAATGGTGCAATATAACTGCCTTTCAGACATTCAAGTATTTTTATCCCCCATATGACTAAGCAGATTGGATGGTGCTTTTCATCCACTTTTTCCTATCCTCTTCTTTTATCATCCTTATTTCATTCTTGATAAACAATGATGCTGAATAACACCATAGAGGCCATACTACTAGGAGAAGCACTACTAGTGGCAGCATTTGAGTGACAAACACTGTCACTCAAATGTATGTTTATGCCAGACTTTAGATTAGAAATGAGGGATGTAAATTCCTTACTGTGAATCTATTCATGATCTGGTCTGCTGAATCTTTGCAAACTGGGCTTAAAAGGCTCCAGTGCCTTACTGAGTCAGCTGGAGAGTAGGGTAGTTTTGATGATTTTTTTGTAGTTTAGTGTTTGTTTTTGTTTTTTCCTGACATACTTTCTATTATTCAGCCACGTATGGAATAAGACTTTCAAAAGGCTTTACTCCTTCCTGTCCCTCTCCCCCACCCCAAGTACAATCTGGCTGCTGTTGAGTGCAAGCCTTCTCCCTTGGGTCACCTTCAGGCAGGAACATAATTTTTTGTCTCTGTCTTGAAGTGTCTGTCTATTTTCAAGACTTACTGGCAAAATTCTCTTCCTCCACTCTTTAAATTTAATTCTGAAAAATAAATTTTAGAAGGATACTGGCTATATGAAATGTACTGCAGGTTGGTTCCCCCTCCCCTAATGTGAGTTATCAAAAATTGTCTATTCCAAGTTAGTTGCCCAGGTTCCTTCTGTAGTCAGTGGAGGGACAAATGATTTAGCTCATCCTAAATAAGTATTAGAGGACAAACTTCAAGGTATATATAGACTGGAGAATATTGTGAAGAATTCTATTCCCTCTTAATTGTACAACCAAGACCCCAGTACACCTCAAAGTCAGTTTGGATCTAAATTCTGACAGCCCATCTGGTTTCTCAGTGCACAAGCAATTTTGCATTGTGTGAAGGAAGTTTTATTTGATGCTAAACTCAGCCAGCCATTCTTATGTGGAATAAGCAATTTATTTTTCCCCTCGTTGATATTTTTCATTCATCCCTTAAAAGAGAAACTGCTGGATTTTGTAAGTGCTCCAACAAACAGTTGTCTAAAGTCCTGTAGGAGTGACACCATAGTTCAAGTGATAGCAGAAAGGCAAGCACTTGATTGATCCTCGAAAGTGTTACTAACACTCACTTCCCTGTCTACCTCTTTCCGCATCACTCACTGTCACGTATTTTTAGAGCAGAGCACTTTCTCTCCTTCAGCTCCGTTGTGTGCCTTCTCTTTGCTGCATGAGCTGTTTGCCAGAGGTGGGAATTGAAAGGGAAAAATTCTCTGCTAGATCTCCACTTCTTATGGTTGCCCGCTCCCTGAAGAAAAAAAAAAAAAGCTGCACTAAATAGAAGTTCTGTTTAGCTTTTAGGCAAACATAAAACCCCACAACTGTGCAAAAAGTTCCTTCACTCAAAGAGTCAAACTATTTCAAGCCTGGACAAACACAAAGATGTTGACTCTTGTTTGAAGTTGGGCCAGTCTGTCATGGTCTAGCGCTGGTGGCACCTTTGGTCCATGACTGGAGGGTGTGAGCCCTGGTGGGAACTGCTAAATGTCTCATAGCTGAGACAGAAAGGCAGAGACAGGGAAGAAGGAGAATGATGCAAGTCCTTAGAAGTGTTTGTTTTGCCTCAGATCCCTCATTTAATGTTTGTATGCCTCTCCAATGAGGCGGATAACTGTGCAGTGAGTGAAGGAAACTGCCTAAACATTTTTTACCTCTTTTACTGAAGTCGGTCCCCCAAAGTATCTTCTGTAGGACTTTTTATTTTGCAATTTCATTTTCTCCCATTCTTTATTTCCTATGAAATCCTTCATGAGATACAGCACTTTTTCTCATCTTCAGATTTGGTTGCACCCCAGAGGCAAATTTTCTAAAAAATGTTTCTATCCATCAGTAAGTTACTGGAGAAGCTATAAGAAGAAGAAGAAGAAAAAAAAAAAAGGAATAAATTCTGCTTTGAGGAAGCACATTTTGTCAGCTACTCCTTATTTTAAATAGTTCCAAAATAGAGAAATTCTAATAAGCTGCTTCTTCATATAAAGAAAAATTGCCATACACTGTAAAGCAGTTGAATTAGTTCATAAACTGAGTATGCTGTGTGCGGTTACTCAGTTACGACCCACTAGATACAATCAATAATTCTGCCCTATCATTGTACCATAACAATATTGCCTAGGCATAAAGGGCTTGCAAAATCCACATTTATTATGAGCTACTGTCTCAGTTTTTCTATTGCAATTCCTCACAATCTACTTTTTTATGTGTGTCAAGCCTCATCTGTGGGGGAAGAATAATTTAGAAGATCAGTAATGGGATGTGGAACATTTCACCTCCAGGTCACTTGTTTGAATCTAACCCTGAACCAGTAGTGATTGAAAATCATTGCCATGTGATTGCTTTCTTTTGCTGGCCTAATGGATATGAACCGTTGGTCCTAGCCTACAGCACAAAGGACGTTTGT